GAAGTACAGAGGTGTTTTTATTCCTCGTTCTGGCTCCTGTTACCCCGGGGTTAAGTCAGTGATCAGTCAGTTTTACACTTTTTTTGCGGTTTTTCGGGCGATGGTGACATTTCCGCCTCCACGTTGATATTTTAAGGCAACTCACAAGGAGTTTTCTATAATTATTCATCCACTGCAGCAGCAGTTCTATTTCAGGTAATGGTGCATTCAATCCGTCCGTGTTGTTCATTCCTGGTCAGAGCCCATTGCCTCCACCTGCCCACCGCCACACACACACACACACACACACACACACACTAATGATTTCTTCTGATTAAAGTTCAAATATTCCCATGTGTACAAGTCTGTGGCGTGTGGTCACCACTCTCACCCAGCAGCCTATGATCACACACCAATGATGTCATTTCCTGCTCCCCGAGGTGGTGGTGGTGGGGGGGCGGTTAACAGACGGTATCTGAAAAACATGACTCAGGTTTAGTCTCGATCTGATACCGCTGGGAGGGCTACCTCCAGGAAAGTCATCAAATAATCCCTCAAACTGGCTTTCGGTGTTTCCCAGAGCCTAAAAATACACACAGATGAATTATTTGTTGGTGCACGCGATGCTTCGACAGCTGCGAGCCGCCAACCCCCCCGCCCACTTTGACTTTTAATCTTGTGTCATTTTATCGCAAAACGCTCTCAGAGGAGCAAAGAAGAATCATTTATCAGTTGTAGCTGTTATCACAACCCAGCAGGACTCACACATGGAAAACCCAATGACTTAATGCATCGCAGAGGCTTTAAAGCTGCTCTCTCTCTCTGCGCGTGTGATTGGTTGGATGCTGAGACAGGAGTAAACATGAACCACCATCTGTAGCTCTTCTGAGGCAACATCCACGGATGAATTCCCAGTGTGTAATGGGCCACAGCAGGAAGTTCAGACAGCCAACGCAGTGGAGTCGCCGTTCATTGTGCTCCTGCTGCCATCTGCTGGCGAACAGGAGCAAATACAGACACACACACACATTTATTTGGGTGAGACAGATTTGAGGAGTAACAAATATTTCATATATTCAGAGTTTGCACTTTAATGTATTAGTTTATTGCCTTTATCAGGATTGTTTCATGCAGTCTAATATTCAAGTATATATGAAGCAATCAGGCATATTCAATCAAAAGGAAATCAATATTAATATAGAGAAAGTCGGAAAAAGGTTATTCATTATTACAAAATGTTGTAATCTGGGAGTTGTTAAAGTTTCTGCATGATGAGGATGAATTTGAGTTCACTCACACTATAAATAAGAAGATGGTGTGTTTCTTTAGACTTTTCGAACTTCCTCAGACTCCCAGAGGAGGAAACAGAAGGACCGAAGCAGCCGCTTCCTCCCAGGATAAAAAAAGCAACCTGTTAAATTTAGTGGAGTGAAGGTGTTTGTATTTATACAGCTGTCGGGACGAGGTTAATGTGGCCCTTCTAGAAATATTCTTACATGTAATCAATATCTTTTGTTTAAAATAACCTGCCAATGGGCTTTGACAGTTTAGAGTTCTTAAAACTAGCATAAAAATCATCCAGTAAAAGACTGAAATGGGTCTTAAAACTAGAAACATGCCAAAATATTACAAGCAATTTAAACTCAGTTATTTAAGATACTTAAAATAGATATTTTGGTTCCTTTACTGAGCTGAATTTAAGAATTTGTACCTTAATGTGAGATTAATAATTAGCTAAATAAGACACAATTTCTTCAAACAGAAAACAGAAACAACCAACCGACCAACCTTTCCCCCTGACTAAGTGCTATATTTTATGGAGTTCATGTAAAACGAGAGGTTTGGATGAATTTTAGCAGATTATTTCCTGTGAATATCGATTCGCACCTGCCCTTCAAAAGTCTGTGCACGCCACTGGTTGGGGTATTATGAAAATAGTAAATAGAAAGTGAAATAATTCTACATATTAAACAATAAAAAAAAACTAAATTGTCACAAACACACATAAATAAACAAAAAGGTAACAGCAAGTAACATCAGTGTCAGATTTATCAGCTTTTTTTAAAGGAACTTTTTTAACATCTGAAATCTACTTTTGATCTTTCTGATATATTCCAAGCAGAAGAAGCTCTATACGGCAGTGGTTCCCAACCTGAGGGTCGGGACCCCCACTGGGGGTCGCCATAGCTTCACAGGGGGTCAGAATCAGAAATACTTTAATTGATCCCTGGGGGAATTGTGTTGGTTACAGTTGTTTAAGGTGCTCACACAATGTTAAAGAAGAAGTCACAAGGCCTTCTTGATTTTAAGGTGTGAAAGAAAACTTTAAAAATATACAAAGTAGGCCTATTTCTATGAATTTCGTTAATTTCTAGCAGTTTCATTTCTCGTTCTGCATTAGAAAAGTTCAAACAATCAAAAAGCTGATTGAAAAATGAAAAGAAAACACTGAATTTGTCTAAAAAGAAGCTTATTTAGTCTGTATGATTGTAAGAAAAATTATATAAAATACATAATACAGACAGAATTGTATAAAAAGTTCCCTAATAGGAAATAATCTGCTCATAATTCATCCAAATCACTCATTTTACACAAACTTCCTGCAGTTACTGAGTTCACTGTTTGGGTTTATTGTACAGTTTATAATATAATATGAAATATTCATAAAATATGTCACTGAGTCAGTTTATAATATATAAAAATGACAGAAAATGGGAAACGTTGGGAGAAAAGGGGAAAACAGTTTTAAAAAGCTAAAATATAGGACATAATATTTGATGTAATTTTAATAAAGTGTTTTGTTTTCATTCCTTTAAGAGTCAATGTAAGTGATGATAATAATAACAGTTGTGTAATATCGTACTGCTGCAACCCTACAGTGTTTATAATGTTCCTTCTGTACTTAAAATAACTCATTGTGAACGATTAATGAGAATATATTGGGTTCCTATAGGAACACACAGTGTATATATTCTGACAACCACACAGAATGGACACAGTGAATTATTCCCACCATCGCTGCAGTGGTTCAGTCCGACCACCGGGGGGCAGTCTGCTCTCATTACAGGTTTTCTCAGTCGCTTTGGTACATTTCTCAGATCAGAATTGAAATTCTCAAAACTACCTGTTCAGTCTTCACATCATTGTGTCACTTGTGCACATCAAAAAAGCAGTTTCTCGTTTCTTTGAACAAGTTGCAAATGATTATGTACAATTCTCTGCTGTTTCCTACATTATCAATTGCTTATGTCATGTTGATCAAAATGTATTATAATGGGTGTCTGTTGAATAGTCTCGCCCCCCACAACATTTAGGCATTAGTTCATAGCATAAGTCTTTACATGCAAAATGGTTGAACACGTTGTCACAATATGTCAAGCATATTCTATACAATTCCATTAGACTTTCTAAATCTGTCCTGAATTGGTAAATTGCTCCCGGGTGAATCTTGACTTTCTCTAACGAATCAATCAACTGGCAAGCATATATATAGCCGGAGCACAACACAATGTTACAATTTGTGACAGTGGAAGGACAAAGAATTGGACGGGGTAAACGCAAGGGGGGGAGGAAAAAAAAAACAAAAATTCCCACGCACTGCATGTAAGTTTTCCCAGGGGGTTGTATGTTATTTCTACTTTTGTTTTTTGTTTTTTTTTTTTTTATAAGGGCTGTCTTTTCCTTTCTGTATCACAATGACATGGTCTGTCAACAAATTACAGTACAAACAGTAAAAGCGTAAATGTGAATCTTGTCCAGTCTCTTGCAATCAGACTCCCACATACACTAAGGTGTAACCTACAATTTACAATAATTGTCATCAAACCTTTAGCCATAGTTTACATCAGAACATCCCTCCAGAGTACACTGTTATATTGACAACATGACTTAGCAATTTGACTGTCTTATCCGTACACAATGACACAAGGACTTGTCATTCTGATGGCACTGACATGTTCATTGACACGGATATTTACTTTTGAGAGATGAACTAAGGATTTTGAGCAAGATAGTGGCTTTTGCAGGTAATCCGTGGTGTTTTGCAATTTGTACGAATTGTTTTGAGAAATGCACCAAGGCGACACCAGAGAGAGTGATTCTGTGTTCCTGCTACAGAACATTAAAACCAACAACATCAGAGTAATGATCCATTCTGAGCTTTACTGTACTTAAAGCTGCAGTAGGTAACTTTTATTAAAATATTTTTTGTTATATTTGATGAATCTTTCACTATATCCTGACAGTAGAACATGAGACAGATAATGTGTGAAAAAATCAGGTTTCTCTGGCTCCTCCTAGTGCTCCTAATGGGGATTTACAAGAATCCACCGGGCCCGAATGAAAACAACCAATCAGAGCCGAGAAATATATAAAGACACTTTGGGTTGGAATATGGAAAATGTTATTTTTTTACCTTTAAATTTTCATTTGATCATTTTTGTAAGCCTAAAGTCATTCTTAAATTCTCCAGTTGTAAAAAATGTGTAGTGAATAAAACAAATGTTTTTGCATTTTGGTTTCAGTTAATTGTTCAAGTTGTATAATTTAATAACAACAGAACATTTTAATATTATTATTGAACATATTATTGTGATAGAAGTTAACAAATAATCATAAAGTGCAGAGTTGTCACCTTGTGGTAAAACATGAGGCTAGTGTGTCCTCAGTTAGACCTGTTAGTAATGTTAATTATTAATTTAGACTTAATAGGCTTAAATATGTTTTGTGGCTTCAAACTGATTATTTTTATTATTAATAATAATATTATTGTTATTTTATGGCTAAAATAGCTCTTTTTAATGGTTGCCGACCTCTGGGTTGAGGTCCCAAAGCCTCTATATTTGACAACCGGATGAGACTAAACAGTAAACTATCTTTCTCGGCTCTGATTGGTTGTTTTTGTTCGGGCCCATGGATTCTTGTAAATCCCATTAGGAGCACGAGAACAAGCCAGAGGAACCTGATTTTTTCACATGTTATCTATCTCATGTTCTACTGTCAGGATACAATGAAAGTTTCAGCAAAAATGACGAATAATAATTTTATAATAATTACCTCCTGCAGCTTTAATGCAGCCTTTATCATTCCTATTATTCTGTGTCATTTTCAAACTGCCTACAATGCCTGAATAGTATTCTTTCAGTGATCCCTCTGTTGGATCAGTTGAAGTCAGTCCTGGTTCATTAGTGAGTGGGGGGGGGTTGGCTCCGGGTCGCTGCTGTAGATCAGTATCAGGTGGATTAATCCGCTCTGTCGCCTGTTGCGCTGCGTCTGGATGAGGAAATGTTGGCGCGCGTTTGGAGCCGTTGCGCTCGGATCACCGGACTCTGTGAACCACGAATGAACACAGCGGGAAGATGAACCTCTCCTCGGCGAACTCGTCCTCCTGGAAAGCGGAGTCGGTGGTGATCTCTCTGGGGTTCTCGGTGATCTTCCTGGTCGGCACCGTGGGGAACTCTCTGGTCCTCGCGGTGCTGTTTCGGAACGGGCAGATGAACACCAAAACCACCAACCTGTTCATCCTCAACCTCGGGATAGCGGATCTGTGCTTCATTGTGTTCTGCGTGCCCTTTCAAGCCACCATCTACACGCTGGATGAATGGGTGTTTGGCCCCGTGGTGTGTAAAGTCGTGCACTTCATCATTTTCCTCACCATGTACGCGAGCATCTTCACCCTGACAGCTGTGTCCCTGGACAGGTGCGTCCGACCTCCTCTCTCAAAGCCTAAAAGGTCAGCGTGAAATGAGAGATAGACAGACAGACAGACAGACAGACAGATAGATAGATAGATAGACAGACAGACAGATAGATAGATAGATAGATAGACAGACAGACAGACAGACAGACATAGATAGATAGATAGATAGATAGATAGATAGATAGATAGATAGACAGATAGATAGATAGATAGATAGATAGATAGATAGACAGACAGATAGATAGACAGGTAGATAGATAGATAGATAGATAGATAGATAGATAGATAGATAGACAGATAGACAGACAGACAGACAGACAGACAGACAGACAGACAGATAGATAGATAGATAGACAGACAGATGGCATTGTATTATGTGTTACAGCATTCGGGTCACATAAACCACAAAAACACTGACATTTCTAAGCAGAAAAACAATTAAAAAGCCAAATAATATGCAATAAGTTTGATTTATTTAACCAGGAAGTCCCATTGAGATCAATAATCTCACAAACATATTAAAATACAACATATATACATATATATACAGAAACTATTCAAACATAATGGCCACATGCCTTTATAATGTGCTTTAAATCATCAATGAATGATACTGTCTTTGTGCTCAGAATTTAAAGTCTTTGCTGTGACGTAAACGTAATTAAGGACATTAAACTCATCGTTCTTTCAGCCATTGATTGACAAAGGCCTGCAGACACGTACGCACATCCACCGTTGGCAGCCAGGCTTCATTTGTGTCCCGGTATGCAAACACACCCAAAACCGGATTTCACGTACCGATCAGTGTAATTGGACTCATTCATTTCCTGCATCCTGTTTCATATGGTTGTTTTCCAGTTAAAATGTTGCTCCCGGCAAAGAGCACAATGTTCATTTTAAGGCCAATTTCTCAGTTTTATCTGGGTATATAAACTCACTTATAGGGAAAAACAAGTCCAGATGACACTGCAGTTTATACTGAAAATCCACTTTCTACATCATTTTTGCACTAATTAATTAATAGTAACTTCTCTATACTTCTTAAATATCAACACCACAAACTACATCAATCCAATGTCTGGATCTATTGTCAGAAATGGGATATAATCATAGGTAAGTTATAGATAGGGAGGTCATTAGTGTATAATCAACTGAAAATAAGAATTGTTGTGGTTTTGTTACCTTAAATGTCCACCAGGGGTCGCCAAAGCTTCACTGAGGGTCGCGAAGCCTTCTTGATTTTAAGGTGTAATAGAAATCTTTAAAAATATACAAAACATTTTAAGTAATAAACATCTGGATCACACGTCTTCCTTCTGCTCTCACAGGTATTTAGTAATTTGCTACCCGCTGCGCTCCCGGGAGATGAGAACACCGAAGAATGCCCTCACCTCCATTGGCCTGGTCTGGGCCTTGGCCCTGGTGTTCTCCGGTCCATATCTGAGCTACTACACGCAGCTGGACCTGGCCGGCACCGTGGTGTGTATCCCTGCCTGGGAGTCCAAACCACGCATCGCAATGGACATGTGCACCTTTGTCTTCGGCTACCTTATCCCCGTCCTGGTGCTCGGCCTGACCTACGCTCGTACCGTCCGATACCTGTGGACCAGCGTGGACCCCGTGAAGGACATGTCCGAGTCGAGGCGGGCCAAGCGGAAAGTCACCAAGATGATCATCATTGTCGCTGCTCTCTTCTGTCTCTGCTGGCTCCCCCATCACCTGATCATCCTCTGCATGTGGTTCGGAAGCTTCCCCCTCAACCACGCCACCTACGTCCTCCGCATCCTCTCCCACCTGGTGGCGTACACCAACTCCTGCCTCAACCCCATCGTCTACGCGCTCGTCTCCAAGCACTTCCGCAAAGGCTTCAGGAAGGTGTTCAGCTGCTCGCTGAGGAGGAGGGAGGTCAACAAGGTGCACGTCGTCCAGGCAGTGAACACGGTGAGCAGCGTGGAGACGTCCAACTGAAGACGACGGAAAAGAACCGGACCAGACGAAGGAGAAGAAGAGCCAACTGAACATTTAAGAAGTCTTTAGACGACGTAATGTGACAAAAATATTAACATCACAAGACTAAAAAACATCTGATTGAGTAAGACGGCAGGGTTATTGATCATCTCCAGTTATTGTTAGTCTGCATTCTGGTAATTAAATTGATCACAAAAGAGAAAAACGGGCGTGGTTTGTCACAATCTGGTTAAAAAAAAAGGACACAGATTGATTGATTGATCAAGTGAAGGCAACTCATTTGACCTCGTAGTTGCTAGCAGCGAAGCTCCAGGGCTTGCAGTGGTCCAGACTGAAATATCTCAACAATTCGCTGATGGATGGACATAAAATTGGGTGCAGACATTCACGATCACTGCAGGAAGAAGCCTTTGACCTCATGTGCCACCATGATTGTTTTTTGGTGAAATGTCTAGCGCCATCATCAGGTCAAAATCTCACTCCGACCAAGAATTTAGTTTATGACCAAACGCCTGCAGAAAAACCAAAGACCATCACATACTAAAGACATAACACTAAATTAAGATGGTGAACATTATCCTTTCTAAACATCACGTTATGTTAGCATTTAGCTCAAAGCACCACTTTCTTTATTTTTTTAGGCTTTTCTGAACACGTTACAGTCAGTATTATACGCACCGCTTCAGACACCATAGTTTGCTAACATTGTTGTTTCCGGAAGTTGGTCCCTAGCACCTCGTGAAGGACGGGAAGCTATGATCAGAATCTGGATCAAGACTTGTCTAGATCCACGTTAGATTTATGGTTTAAGATTCATGGTTTAATGGGACACTAACAAAGTCTTCAGATACCTTGATTTGTGTCTAATTCTGTTTATTGTGCCAGAAATTAAAAGCACATGTGGACGCTGAGATTTATGGTTGGTCAGGTTCTGAAGTACTTTTCCTGGAGGTCCTGCTGGCTGAACACGTTTCATCATGAAGATCATTTAAAATAATTTAATGAAGATCATTTAGACACTAAATAAAGGGATATTACCACTATTGTATTCAGTGACTTGTGCGATTACAGTTCAGTATTACTAATAAATTCATTTATGTAACACGTTTAAGAGAAAAGTTGCAAAGTGCTTTCTTCTATGGAAGCCTGTTTCCACCAATGTGACGGAAAAGGTTCTCTAAGTCATTATAATGAGAAACTTTCCCAAAATATTGACTGAGTGTAAGTCATTATTTTGAGAAGGTTTCTCATTATAATGACTTACAGAATCAAAACTCACAGCTACAAAGATACCGTAACAATATGTTTTTTAAATTAAGATGAAGAGTGACGGTGCCTGATTTAGGTCATCAGCTTCATCCCAGAGGAGTTTGTAGAAGGATGACTCGCTGAAAGCTCAGATGAGTCTCACATGCGGAAGGTTGGCGGTGCAGGTTTTGGCTGGAAGCTGCTTACATGAGCAGTCTGAGGAGATGTGGGTGGTGTTTGATGGTGGGAAAAAAAAAAGAAATGTTATGCAACCGACAGTTGCCAGACAGATTTTCAATCACTTCTACATATCTGAATATACGTCTGTTACTAATCCAGCACCGTGTACACAAACCTCAACAGGCCTCAATGTTCTGTGGCTTTATGAATATGCTGCATGATGCTCGGTGTTGTATGTGGTGATATACGGCTGGCTGAGCAGGGCTACGGGACATTAAACCGACTGTTGCTGTAATGTTTCTGTGTGTATGCATGCCGACAGTATTATTGTGCTGTACAGAACATCATCAGAGTTGTTGAACTAATAAATACATCAGGTTGTTGCGTAACTCCTCTGTGTGTCCATCCCTTCAGCTGACCCTGTGTCAGATCCTTCAGTCGGGTCTCACCTAGTGAGTGGCGTCCTGTTGTAAGCTGCCGCACAATGGCAGCTCTGCTGTCGAGTATCTACACTTCAGACTGAACGCTCACAAAGTCATGACGAGGACAAGTTCCTGTTTAATGTGGAAGTGAAGTACAATGAAGATCCCCGACTTCAGGGCTTATACACGATAGGTGTGTTGTTTGTGGACAGGTTTAGAGCTAAATAAACTTTTGTAACACCAAATATCACGAGACATATCGTGATATAGAGCGAACAATGACACAGTGAGTGATATAACCAACGTTAGCTATGTTGATGGTGAGCAAACAGTTGGTGAAAACCCTTCATAAGGTACTTTTTATCTCTTTTTAAAGGTCCAGTGTTTGACATTTAGGAGGATCTATTGGCAGATATGGACTATTAATATGTCCAATGTCAGTCATCATATCGATGATCTTGAACTGTTGTCATTCTTATTTTCCTCTGAGCTCAGTCATCCACATTAATACTGAAATGTCTTTAATAGGAGTCAGTATAATATCTCTATAGACTGAGAATTGGTGTGTGTGTGTTTCCATTACACAACCTCTTATTAATCCCACCTCCCAACCTTTCCGTTATTGTTAATGATTGAATTACACAAACAACAAACAGACGACTCAGCGCTGAGCTGTATAATTAATGACCCACTTCCTCACAAATTAGGTGTGGCAATTATAATAATTCCTAATTAACATACATTTCACCAAATCCTGCTTTAATGATATAAATTATACAAAATTTAACATAATCATTGTAATGTAGCAGCTGGTTAAGGTGGAGCTTATTTTAATTACTTTATATTCAGCATTCATAATATATTAGTTGATTTATATTTACTTCAACTTTGATCAAATAAATGAAGTATAAAGTGGAAATACTCAAGTACAGTTTTGGGGTATTTATACTCTTCAAAAAGGGCAAAATGTCTTGTTTCTGTGAAATAAGTCTTGTTTTTTTATCTAAAAAGAAAAATAATCTTGTCAAACATGTTTTACATTAGAACTGTAATCTGGTTTTAATAAGATATTACAGATATTACAGCTAATATTGAGCTCCAAGTTGAAGCAGCTATTTAGTTTTTCATTGTTTTAATACAGAAATGATAAAAATAAAGCTTCTAGTTCCTTCATTTAAGACAATGTCACTTTATTTTATTATGTTTGAAGGAATTGCGTCTTATTGTAAGATTTTATTTTTGCTAATGATTAATGTACAATAGCTCGCTAGTGTTTTTCCTGTAGTAAAGGAAGACAATATATCTAAATAAAATATTAGATATATAAATATAAACTTTGTCAGATGTCACAGATAATATAGAGCTAGATTTATTTTTGATTATGCTGTTTTAAGAAATTAATTAATTAAAAAACAAAAATCTAATTATTAATCTCAGATTAAGGTACAAAGTTTGCATTGCTTGTAATGAGAACAACCTGCTTAAATTATTTTTTCTAGTTTTAAGTCTCATTAGTTTATTTTTATGTTAGTTTTAGTGAAGCAAAATTCCTCACTAGCAGAAAATGTGATTATATTTAAGAACCGTTGGCTTCTGGTTTCTTGAGGGGCTATTTTACTTAAAGTACAGTACTTGAGTAAATGTATTTTGTTTGATTCCACCACTGTTACATGATGAGTATTGATCACAGCAGCTTTAACTGAACGTGCTCCGGTCTCTTCCCTGGAAAAAACACCAATCTGTAACACCACACTGTCGTTATGTAAATTAAAAACCTCCACCGCTGATCAACGGATGCTTGTTTTTGACGTCTCGCTGAGAAGCTTTCAAGTGTTTCTCCTGCAGAAAACCCCTCAATGGTCGTTAGGATGCAACAAGATCTCCCGGCTCTAACGATGTGCTCCCGCGCCGAGGAACAGAAAAAGCTGACGTCTGTTCAGTTATTTATTCAGACCGACGCTCGTATGCGGTGACAAACATTTAACGATGTACCCACGGTGAAAAAATGGATGACAAAAGACACTTCATTATGTTATTTGTCTGATTATCTTCTCTGTGTCATCAACAAAACAAATTACAACCAATTCACAGAGTTCCCTTTATTATGGTTTTGAAATGCTAAGCTGGAACGGCTAAATTACATAAATACATCATGTTCATATCTTTGTACAAAACATTCATCAGACGAGGAGGAGGAGGAGGAGGAGGGTGGCGGTAGTGTGAGGAGAGGCTCGAGTGTTGTTAGAGGAGCTCGTGTTGAGCTCGGGGTGAGGCGCGGGGGAACAGGAGCCGGAGCTGATCAAAGCGAAGCTCAGGCGGACGTGTCGAACAGCCTTTCAATCATCTCCTCCACCTCCTCCGGTCGATACTTGTGATACTTCTCGGGGTTCTTGGTGAAGGAGATGTTGGCGCATCTGGATGAAACAGGAGAGAGAAACAGCGGGTGTGAGGACAGAGTCCACGAGCAGTAATTTAAACATTAGACCTGAAGCATGAATGAATGATTGGATTTGGAAATAAAAATACACAGAAAATTGAGATTTGGTGATTTGTTATGGGATGTAATGTTGCAATCAGTGTTTATTTTTTTTAAACTTTTGGGATTAAAAAGTGGATTTATCTTATCGTTTCACTTTACTATGAACTAAGGGTTAATAGCCTGGATTGATCAGAACTCGAGCATTTTAAAAGTTGTTTACTCGTCGTCTTACGCACAGACCCGACAAAGTATGAACTCAGACATTTTACTAATCGCCATCATGATGTCGTTATTCCGGCATCATTTTTATCCTTTAGCCGCATTGAAAGGCGACTGTTCCCCTCTCGTTTACCTTGGAGCACCGTGGTGGGGACACAGAGTAACTCTCACCTGTGCAGGAAGGCCCTGTAAGCATCAGACACCACTTTCTTCTGAGACTGACGGATGGAGTCTCGCTGCTCTTTGTCCGGGATGGCCCAACCCTTCTGGATCTTACACAGCTCCTCCAGACCGTCGTTAAAACCCTGAGAGGCAGCGAGAGGAAGAGAGGTCACACAGTTTGTTCTTGTGGATCTTTGAGAGGATTTCAGAGGAGACACTTGACCTCCGACCTCACCTTGAACTTGTCTTTAATCACTTGTCGCTCTTTATCTTTCAGCTGGAGGACAGAAGCACAGATTATGATACTTACACTTATTTCATGAACATTTTAAGCTGTAATCTGTGATTCAGAGTTACGTGCTGGGTTTGGGTTTGACCTCTGCTCAACTGGCACCGTATCAACTTTTCTCCTCCAGTGCCAAAAATCATACGGGCTCGCTAAAGTTGACACCTGAGTACCAAAAGTTGAGCGATAATAAAGTTCTGACCTTGGTGCCGGGCTGGAAGACGGGCATGTTCCTGTCCGTCAGGTGCTCCGTGACTTTCAACCAGCTGCCGACAGAAATGGTTACGTCAGGTCAAAGCGCGGACGCCACAGAAGGGAAGCATGTTTGTTGAGTTTGAGCGCGTTTACCTGCTCTTGTACATCCAGATCTGCTGCTCGATCAGCTCCCTGTAGGAACTCTCAGCCTTCTTCTGAGTCACAGTGACCAGCTGGATCAGCTCAGACCTGCACACACGCGCACACACACGCACACACGCACACACGCACACACACACACACACACACAGGTGAGGACATGTACACCCTTTATCACGGCGTAAACAGACATATTTTATAGATATTAATAACATTACAGAACAGCTGCAGGAAGTTTGTGTAAAACGAGTGATCTGGATGAATTTTGAGCAGATTATTTCCTGTGAATATTGATCAGAGATGAGTTTTTCTGATATTTTTAAAACCTTTTCATACTGTCTGAATTATATGGAAGCCCAAAAGTGATTCTGTAAGTTATTAATGAGAAACATTACCGAAAATGATGACTTAATATCTCAAAATAATGACTTAATGTCTAAAAATAACGACTTAATATCTCAGAATTATGAATTAGTTTCTCAGAACAATAGATACTATTAGGCTTCTTTTTTGACTAATATAATGTCTGGCCATTGATCATCTCTTTCTGACACACAGGCGTACTGTACATTTTTAAAAACTCTTACTCCCTTTAACATCAAGAAGACCTCCTCTCTCATCTACTACATTTTTCTGCCTCTATTCTGTGTTTGTCTTTATAATGGAACCAGTAAACCATCACATTGGTTGCACACTTGTGTCATCCAGACGCACAATGTCAGACACACGTCAGAAACTCACTTCTCCAGCGACTTGAGGATGTAGTTGTAGTTGTTGTGCAGGAAGATGGCGCTGAGAGCCGAATCCTCGTACACTTTGGATTTGCTGAGCAGGTTCAGCTGTAGGTTGCCGAGCACTTTACCTGCGAGGGAAACAACTCATCCATCAGTTTCCACAATCATCAGAACATGTGACATAAAGAGGAGGCAGATTCTTACTTACATATATAAGTGCTCAGGAGCTTTTTGTTGAAGTCGGAGGTGTAGCTGCTCGCTGAACTCGTCTCTGGAGGAAAATACAGAAGTTTAAGATTTACTCACTAACACACAGTTTTACTACTTGAGTTAATCTAATAACACTTCTTTCATTTTCTCTTTAGATGGAGACACCTCCACTCAGACTGCCCTCAGGACCAGAAGTATTAATTACAGAGGAAGCACTCGAGTTGCCATGGCAGCATCTAAAAGCACTTTTCCTTCAGCACGATGCCGAGGGTCTGTTTGTGACACTGTGAATTAATTAGCTGCAATTATAGTTTCAAGAATCAGCACGAAAACATTCAGAGTGTAACAGTGAGTGAGTGAGAGTGGGGGAGAGCGGGAACCGGGGCAACGCTGTCGGATAAACTTCATTAATAAATATATTTAATGATGTTTATTCTGTACCAATGTGGAACGACGTCGCAGTTTAAACTTGAATTGTTTATTTTGTTCTTGTTTTTATTAAACTGTCTGACTGTGTCCTCGTTAATATGGAAACACAGTCCGTCCTTTATCTTTTATCCAACGTTTTACAACAACAGTATTTAATTTAACACTATAAAAAGAGTAAACATAACTCATTTAATTTGCTGTTTTATTGATTTTTATTAAATTAATTTTATTACAGCTTTATTTTATTGTGTCATTTGTTTGGTTACAACTTGTGCAAATACATAAATAAATAAAAGTAAGATTATTAATATTAAGGTAATAAAATCTTAATGGAAAAATTTCATAAAAAAACAATAAATCGTTAAAAAATGTAATTAAAAGCTGCAGTAGCAGGTAAAAATAACTTTTTATTATATTTGCTGAAACTTTCACAATATTTAATGGTATTTACTAATTATTAATCAACTAGGGATATAATGAACGTTTCAGCAAATATGACAAAAGATATTTAACCTACTGCAGCTTTAATGACATTTTTACATTAAAATTACTTTATTTGATATTAATAATATATATTGTTATTAGTTTATTTATTTGCAAAAGTTAAAATTAGACAAAGGACATAAAAAGGACAATATATAATATGGTAGATGGAGAGATAAACAGCCCTATAAGGGACAATAGATCTTGTTGTTACTGTCACAGTAACTGATTCGCTTCCATGAAACTCAAGACTTCAGGATGTGTTAAAGTATTAAATAATCTATCAAATGATCCTAAATAAGACACAAGAAACAATAAACTCAAAAATCACTTATTAATTCACTCATTGTCGTCCAGAACTGTTTTTTCCGCGAGTTTAACGTATCAACGTAATTTTAATTGTGTGCTTTATGTTTTATGTTACTTTCATACCGACTCTCCCCTACATTTACTCAGGTACATTTACTCGAGTATTTCCATTATATGTTACTTTACATTATTACTCAGCTACTTTCAGAGGCAAATGTACTTTCTGACTTATAAACCACATTTATCTGACAGGTTTAGTTACTTTATACGTCTAAATCTTTTAGCTCGTATGTGACTCGGATCTGATTTTTTCAGGACAGTGTTAACGGCAGTAGCAGAAAAGTAATAAAACTAGTAGTGTAACTAATTACTGTTGGCAGGGAGTAAAAAACTAGAAAAGAGTAATGAGTAATAAGTTACATTCTTTGAGTAACTAGCCCAACACTGGTTACCAGGTACTAAAATATTCACTATTAGAGATGAAGCTACAATAAATAAAGTTGTTAAATTTAGCTCCTTGTCAATAATAATTAATAATATTCCAATATAAATACATAATAACACTTTTAATGCCGTCATTTTGCATAATGAGTACTTTCACTTTTGGTACTTTAAGCACAATTTCCTTCTAATACGTCTGTATTTTTACTTAAAGGTCCAGTGTTCAGGATTTAGTGGCATCTAGGGGTGTAGTTGCGGATTGCAACCCCCTCGCCAAGCAAAAGCCCCCATCTAGAGCCAGTGTTTGGTCTGTCTGCTACAGTAGAAACATGGCGGACCCTGCCACTGGTGATAATACACAAATGAAAACATACTTCTGACAATAGATCCTCCTGAACATGACACACTGGACCTTTAAGTAAGATTTTAAAACAGGACTTTCACTTGTACCAGAGTATTTCTTTCATGTATTTGCTACTGTTACTTAAATAAAAGCGTATTTCTTCCACCACTGCTCATCAGGGGCCTCCACAGGAATCTTTTGCTTACCTCGGGGGTCTAAAGGAATATTGTAAGTGTCCCCCAGTACTAAAAGGGCCGAGGCAAGGCAGAAGAGAAGAGAAAGAGAAAGAGGCACAAGTGCAAAAAGGTTAGAAAAGATCTGTTAGTGCAGAGTAAGCAAACAGTCATCAGCCAGGCAGCGAGTGTCTGAAGAGAGTCGGGTAATGAAAAGGAGGGAAAGCAAAGCAGCGATCGACAGGGGGAACAGGAGGGAGCCAGAGACCTCATTTACAACCCCCCCCCCTTCAAGATGAGAGGAGATCAGATTAAAATCCACAACAAATCCAATTTAACTTTAACGTATCTTTTTTTAAACATTACTGGGACTGACGCGCTGCCTCTCGCACATGCCAGACAAAGCGTGCGTCACAGAGTCTCCCTTTAAAAGGAGGAGGGGAGGAAGGAAGGTGGAAAGACAGAACGGGTGAGGAGAGAACGTAGGAAACCTGTGACGGTGTGTGGATTGGAGGTTTTTCTGTCTGATCTGTCCGTGTTTCAGCATCAGTAACCTTCTAATACAGTGTTTGGACAGCGACATGTTCTATAAAAATATAAGACAGCCATTACGCAGCCCTATTGGGTGACGTACAACACTGGCCATCATTATATAGTAAAAGGATGCCGATAACATAACTAATAATTTCACATTTTTGTGTTTTAAAGTTCCTAACCTGCAGTTTTTACACACTTGATGACAAAAAATACTTAATTTAACTGACATCACAGTTGTTAACACAGAAAATAAACAACAATTCTGACTTTCAAATTAAAAAGCCCATCAATATTCTTCATGATTCCAAATAATTATAAATGTATCTGCTGTAATTTAATTATCCGGATAATTCACAATGATATAAACGCGCCATTATAATGATGATTATCGTGCATCCTCAGTAATTACCGAGGTTTGAATGGTACAGATCAGGAGCCAGCACCCTTGACTATCAGATTCCATACATTGTTTGGTCCACGCCACAGGGAGCCACTGGCAAGGAGCTCGAGAGCCACGTGAGGCTCCAGGGCTTCAGGTTTCCTACCCCCGGTACAGACTGCGGGGCTCTAGCTGACTGTATTTGTTGTTTGCTCGTGTTTTTGTCCATTTGGACTCTGATGAAGACGCAGTAGTGTTGAAACACAATTACAGAATTTAATTCTGTTTGCACAGTTAAAGGCTGTGTATTAATCAGCGCGCTGCAGTCCTCCTTTGTTCTGTTTGCTGCTCTTTAACTGATTCAGCTGCCTCTAGTTTCTACTAGATATCCTCTATATATTGTCATCAAGGTTGTAAATATGATTATTTGTCATTTTTAAAGGAAAAATACCAAAAGAAAAGTCTGTTTTCAGCCTGTTTTATGTATTTTGGTTTTGGTATTTAATATTTATGGGGTGTTTTGACTGTTAATTATTAATTATTTAGTCAAAAATATGTCCTGTTTTGTCCAACAATCAATTAATTTTAAGGCCTGACACCTCCTTGAGTGGAAGTGTTCATAATGGGTCAAACCATTTGGCTGAAAGGGGAGTTTATCTTATCACACTATATTTAGAGTCTTTAGGCACATGGCACTGTTTACAGTTTTTTCCTAAAATGGTAGAAAATGTCTGAGAATAAGCAGAATTTGTCCCGACTAATAATAGTTGTATGGAAAATATTTACTCAACACAATCTCAGCAATTTTTCCAATTATTTTAGAAAAATCCAGACTTTGATAAAAGTGTGACAATGTTGAAGTTGTACTGTTGGATACTCGTCAAAGTATGTCATAACCAAATTTCAAGACTTTCGACCAATCAGAACAAATGATTTTTGGCATTTTTCCTAATCAGACTGAATATATAGTCTTTGGGCTCAAACAGGTTAAACAAATAAGGTTGCAGCCCTACTTCCTATATAGAAGAACTTTGTAACGTTGGTTTTAAATTATTATAATGATTTTTATACATTTCAGTACAAATATTAGCTCCTTTGTAGGAATAATGTGAAATAAAATGTCACTAATATTCTTCTTGTTGATGCTAAAAACCTTCTGTTCTGTTGTTTTTTCCTAAAACTTGGTGACTGCGTACTTCAGTAAAAGCTGAAAGTCGCCACTTTAACTTTAACGTCCAACACAAAGAACAGAAGCAACAGATGCACATATCACTGTCCAAATACTGCCTGACAGAATAATGAGAGTTAGCTACGTCACTGTAGGTTAACCTGCACATGGATACTGTTAGATGACAGAAATCTGACAAGGACCACCGCTGGCACTGGCACTAATGAGGAAGCAGCATCTCAGCAGGCGAGCGGGGCAGCGGGGGGTCTAAGAGGACGCCGGCTAACGGGTGGTGTTGGTGCGGCTCTACCTTGCGAGGCCAGCATGGCTCCGGCTGTCTCGTGGAAGTCCAGCAGCTGCTGCAGGAACAGGATGGCCTGCAGGAGAGAGAGAGAGAGAGAGAGAGGAGAGAGAGAGAGAGAGAGAGAGAGCTCAACGTAAGCATCACCTCAGCTTATTGATTCAACACAGACGCTGCCGCTCGCCGCTGTTAGCCGTTGCCATGGAGACCACCTGGATCACCAGCAAACGGCAAAAGTGCTCCCTCTGGGTGTGAGTGTGTGTGTGTGTGTGTGTGTTGAGTTTGAAGTGCAGAGCGAGCAAATAAATCCGAGAGCGCCGTTACGCAACAGGAAAAGGTGAAGAGAACGTTGGCTTACGTTGCTGGTGAGTTCGTGCACTGTTCCATCCTTGGGCATGTTGTACTCTTTATCGGGATCATTCTGGGGTCAGAGAGAGAGACAGGACTCAGTAAATAACCAGAACCAACATCAGCCTTTCAGTGGGGTTGACATGGACTGCTCCCCTCCTCTCCTGAGTGCTCAAACATTTAACATTAAAGGAGAAACTGCACACACAAGATGGAAAAAGCAAGAAAGAATAGAGCAGGAAATGTTTTGAGTGTTAAACTTAAATACATAGTTAACAAGTGTAATTAGCCGTTGCAAATTATTTAACATTTATTTACCCTTTAAAGGTTTATGAAAAAGTTTCAATACATTTTCTGATTATATTCTCAAGTGTATTTTTTAGTCCACAGACTGACCACAGATAACGGCTGTTTCATTTTAAAGGCAGACGTCAAACAGTTCTTAATGCAGACAACTGACTGTACCTGCTACTGTCACATATCATATAATGCTGGATTCAGCTCAGTCAGACCTTTCTAACTAAACCTGGTTGGTGTTTGTGGGACAATCCCAGCCAAAGCTACCTTAAAGTAACTTAATACATTCATTATAGAGCCTCATATTTGATATTTCCTCCTGTTGTATGTCTGTGTTTGTAGTCCTGTATTTCCTCAATGCATCAAGATATTCACATTCTGTTTGTTCAGACATGTAGAGGAAGCACTTGTCCACTTCCACACCACATAGGGGATCAATCAGAGCTTGCATTATGAAATTATGAGTTCAGACGTATCATCTCCCATTCAGCCTGGCTCTATTGTGCACTTATTTATGTGGTGTATCACAATATCTGTCAATTAAATCAAATAATTCTATAAAAGAATCCATTTCATATGCGGTACTTGGAGAATATGAAAAACATTGCTGTGCTTTGTTCTACCTTTGCCTTCCCTTCCCACTAGCCTAACTCTTTAATGAGAGAGTAAAATGTGAGCGTGTTGCCTTGATGCTGTCTGCGAACTCCTCCAGCGCTTTGGCTCCAATCGTCTCCATGGAGGTGATGAGCGTCGGCAGCTTGTTCTTGGTGCTGGCTGCTGTTCCCTGCAGACACAGTGGATTACATTTAAAAAAAGATGACTTTAATGCAGCATCTTCTCTCACTCCTACAACAGATACTGAAGTGATGACGACCTGCAGCGTCGTGTCAAAGTCAGACTTGTTGATCTTCAGGTGTCTGAGGATGGGGAAGATGGTGAGGACGGCCGAGTAGTCGTGGCGCATTATAGCTCTGCGGGCTGCGGACACGATGTTGTCTCCCTCCAGCATCAGGTTGTCGAGCGCCTCCTGTGGACGGACGAGGGAACAGGAAGCAGATTACACATGATGGGAGTGACGTGCATTAAAGTTGGGCTGTTTCCTGTTGTCTGGAGGCGAGTAAAGAATCCTTGTTTCATTCATTGGTTCATTGACATGTTTCGATTTGGGTGAAAGATAAATAAAAGATTCAGTAATGAGATGAATCATATCTGACACCTCATTATTCTAATAAAGATAATAAATCTTGAAGTTAATGATATTTTTGTAGACTTTATTCTTCACGGATCTGGGATTCCCCAGTTATTTGGTGAGTTATTATCTCCAGTACTGTGATGGAGCCATTAGACTGTGCAATCAACGTTCACTTCATTAATGAGGAGTTAAAGCAACAACGCTGCAATCCCGCCCTGGTTCCCTAGATTGTATTACAATTACTATATTTAAGAGTCTGCACAACAGGAAGGTAAAATCAATTAAATTACATTTTATACAATCCCTTACAATTATTTTAAATACCTCCAGGCCGACTCAATGAGTGTTAAATATTTAATCTTATCAACTAGTTTTCAATAAGTAACGACCAGGAACGCCGGTTCCCAACCGTTCTCCTTAAGGGAGCCCTTGTCTATCACTGACTCCTGACTGAGACATATTTGATGGATATGTAGTATTATGTTTGACGTATAACAATAACAGAACAACTGATGATCTGTGAAAAGTGAACGAATAAACTGCAGGAAGTTTGTGTAAAATTAGATTGGATGAATGAATTTTGAGCAGATCTATTTTAGGATATTTTTAGGAACATTTTTTCCACAATCTTCTGTCTGTTTTATGTATTTTGCATTTTTTAACACTCATACAGACTTCATAGGCTTCTTTTTTGACAGATTCAGTGTTTTCTTCTCCCTGATGCTCGTTCTATTAGCTCTTTGGTTCCTTTTTTACTGCAGGATGATGAGATATATTATTAAAATCAAGAAGACCTTTGTGACCCCCCTGTCAGGAACCACTGATCTGGATCTTCAGCCTAACTTAAATGAAAGTGAATTCCTGTGTTTGGACCTGAATGAGGGAGTCGAAGGTCTTCTTCTGGTGGTGCTCGGGGATGATTTCTGCCAGCAGGCTGTACTCGCTGTGGGCCAGCTTCACGAAGGCACTGATACAGTGGATGTAGGAGTCGATCTCGATGTCCAGAACGTCGTCCTTCCCTGAGAGGTACACGAGGGACAGATCCAGTCAGCCGGTAGACAAAGAAAGACTTTAAAGGCTTTAATGTAACATAAGACATGGGCTCAAGCAGTTACTGAGTGGGTGTGTGTGTGTGTGTGTGTGTGTGTGTGTGTGTTCGGATGGAGGCGTTAACGCCGCAGCGCTGCACTGACAGTGAGATGTGTTAAATCTGCAGTAGGTGAGACTTTTATGTCTTTCTGTTCCGTCTGTTTTTCCCCCACATGTTCCCGTCACTCACCTGCGGCGGCCCCGTGCTTCTCAGTCAGGGCGTCAGAGTGGTGTTTGACCCGCAGGTCGTGATCGTAACCTGATGGGTGAGGTGGAGGAGGGGGGGTAGGGGGGAGGGGGCAGCAGGGACACAGGCCTAGTTAGACCACCGGGGTTGTAACTAGGCCACAAGGAGGGAGGGAGGGAGGGGGGGAGGGGGGGGGCAAACCTGAACCTGGAACATCTGCACCGACCACCACCAAGCACCCAGCAGGGGGGAGGAAGCAGGGGACACCCACTGAAGTCACGGAGAGGCTGTGTGTGTGTGTGTGTGTGTGTGTGTGTGTGTGTGTGTGTGTGTGTGTGTGTGTGTGTGTGTGTGAGACTCATATCTAAGTTAGTGTGTGTTTCAACCACATGAGAGCAACCAGCTTTAAGAGAAACGTCACAACAGCTTTGGATTCACTGCAGCTCTTAAAAAGGTTCATCGCATCCGTTCACACTTTAACACTGTTCAATGTTCTGACTCTCCTCACTTTTAGACCTTCCTAAGCCCCGCCCCTTTTTACTCTGTGCTCCAATAACAGTTGAGCATCTCTCTGTCAACTTCCTCCTTCACTGTTCTTCGGCTCATCTACCGTAACACCTTTATTTTACTTTTATTTGCTTTAATCACTGAACTCAACCTGCCTCTATATGAGACAGGCCTTTAACTGCTTTTACACAAAAGATGGGAAATACTATCAAACTGTTTATTTACACCAGTATGAATTTTACCCCTATTGAATAATATCGATATATATCACATTTTATAGACTTAACAATTAATCCAAAATATAACTGAGACTGATCGATGTGTGTAAAAGTTTTCTTATTCTACTCCAGACTCCGAACTTGAGATGAAGCTCGTGCAGCACAACATTTATATCTTATTTAGATCTGGTGGGTTTTATACGTTCCAACGAGCTTCCAAAATCAAAATCCACACCAGGCTAGTAAAGGAGACCTGCTTCTATTTGGGACCCTGTTGGTTTTATGGTATCTCTCTCTTCTCTGATTTTGGGGGTGTGGCTATCTGTAGACTAATAACAGTAACAGTGGTGTAAAGTGTCTCAGGATGAATGTTTTTGCTTATTAAATCACTTAAATACAGATTTGGCCTCGTGTTGGACCAGAAGACAAATCCAAAGATAGATTAGATAGAATTCATCTGCACCATCGTAGAGCTGTTGCGACTGTTACGAGGAGATTTATGTTTGCCTGTTGCTCTGGACGAGAAACAACATGGAAGCACAACATAAGAGCGGCACACTGTCAGCGAGGAGGCAGAAACAGACACCGAAGAGAGGACCGAGGTGCGTTACCTTCCAAAGGAGTGAGGTTAGAGCCCCCCTTTTTCCCATCCAGCCCATGCTGTGAGTACTGTTTCAGAAGGTTCTGAGCCTTGCGAATGGTCCCTGGTCCCATAAACACAGAGACAGAGTCCAGAGGAGGAGGACGGGACGGGGGGGAGAGAGGAGGCAGCGAGGTCCAGACAGCCAAGAAACAGGAAGAAGAAAGAGGAAGAAGAAAGAGCTAGGAAGTGAGTGAACTGAAGACACCACCACCCAGACAGGCAGCATGTGGAGGGTTGGGGGGGGGCATAGCCTAGCACCACAGCTACACAACAGGATGACCAGGTGAGAGACTACAGCTACGTCATGAAAACACACCGTGTGCTCGAACGCACACGGCGCCCGGGCGGGGTCATGTAAGAGCAGAATAAACAGGTTAGGTCAGTCGTAAAAAAAAAAAAAAAAAAACACAAAACAGCCACATCACAATTATTACAATTAAACAGTCATATGCAGCATTCATATTACTAATATTACCATAACATGTGGTTACATGGTTTAGACAGGCACAATCTACAGTACATTCATATTCTGCAGGATTCAAACACAGTATCTGAGCTGGGTTAGTCAGTTAGTGAGCATGAAGCACAGTTAAAGCTGCAGTTGGTTTGGGGTTTTTTTGCCACTTGGGGGGCAGAAGAAGCTGGAAAACAATGGCTCATTATCTGTCGTAAAGGCGAATAACTGTGTGTTCAAACATGCAGCAAACACAGAAAGACATCATCATCCTATTGTGTCCAAATAATGAGTTTTAGTCAATATTTGCTCTGATTTTAGCTCCGGTTTGGTCTCCACCAGCCCCCATTTGTGACCTCAGCTCTCCGTGAATCAGCCATGAGATTACTGACTGTGATTACCTGATAGCCAGCAGTAGGTATGATTAAAGCCAACATTTCCATTCACTCTGTTCAATTCAAATTTTATTTGTATATCACCAAATCATCGCAGCAGTTCTTTTATATAGAGCACGTCTGCTTCTTTTAAAATGCTGCTTTCATTCTCCAGAAACACTGAAATGTTGTTTATCACATTTTCTCACTCGAGGCAGAGAGTAGAAATTTATAAGAGCACCAAAACACTTCTGAAGATACAACCTGCTGCTGGATAAAAGGTTGAGGTCACAAATGAGGTTCGACCGGCTCCTGAGGGAAACATCTGCCTCTTTATCTGCTTTAACGCTCCACTTTCTTCACCAGCTAGTTGCTGACAGCCACTAAAAAGAGGCTGAAAGAGGCTAAAAAGCTCCGTAATTCTTGGGTTCATCACTGCAAACAACCTCTTTTACATTTCACATTTTATTCACTGTTATTACTAAAAAATATAGATTGATTAGTGGAGCTTTAACATAGATTAGATTGGGTCAGAAAATCTTCTATTAACCTTTTTAACTACTGTTTAATTCTTGTAAAAGTGTAGTTCAGCACAAGCAATAGCCGAGCTGCGTGTGCATGTCGATGGAGTTGATTCAAATTCAAGCAGCGCTGTCGACAACAAAAAGAATAAATAATATATATATGTTTTTAAAAGCCTGTGGCTGAGGGAGCAGATCATCGGCTGTTTACAGGATTCAGTTCAACACTACACACAGTCCTGTCACAGCACACACACGTCCACTTATTTACACAAACACTGAAAACTCTGCAGCTTTCTGGTTTCACGGCGGCGAACTGACTGCTGGCGACGGCAGGATTCAAACACAGCGGCACACTAAACTTATGGAAACCTGTTTCTGCCAATGTGACAGGAAGAAAAAAGATTCTGTGAGTGATTATAATGAGAAAAAGTCCAGAATCCAACAGTCCAATCACATCCTTCAATACATTTTTGGAAATATTCACATTACTTTGATTTTAACAAATAAAACTGGATTTTAATCGTTTTAAGTTTGAATTTTGCTTAGAAAGGAAACAGTTAGTAGTATGTTAGAAATATCTGAATACTTAAATACTTTGAGTATTTTATGTCAGTTTACAGTTTTTATACAGCTATTCTAAAATAAGTATTTTGTTTTGAAAAGGAAGCAGTGTTAAAGTTTTTGGTATATTTTTTATTATTTTTAAGTTCTAATATAAACTGTTTACATTCTGATTCCTTCACATATTGTATCATTTTTGTCATTTTTGCCAATAAAAACATACAAATACATGATTACATTAAAATGTTTTTATATTCTATGTACACTGGACAATAGTATAAAATACCATAAACCTATATACCGGCTCAGTTATGCAAAAAACAACAAATACAGTATTAAACCGTAAAAAAACACTAATTACACTGTACAGGTGAACCTAATAAAGTGTATGTTGCTATTGTGTGCTGAAACAATTAATCAATTATTCAGTCAACAGGAAATCAATTTGCAGCTGTTTTATTAATCCATTAATTGTTTCACAGGTTTTAGGTTCTCAAACGTGAATATTTCCAGGTTTTCTTCGTCTTCTGTGATTGTAAACTGAACATTTTGGAGTTTTTGGACTGCTGGAGTCATCATGTTAGACTTAGATTGGACATTTTTAGACCAAACGATTAATCATGAAGATAAACCGATAATGAAAATCCTAGTTAGTTGCAGATATTAGGTATTAGAGTCGATCCATATAGCTCATTTAATCATTTTTAGGACGATGGTCCTCAGACTCAGCTGCAGTCCCCAGCAGTGAACACCACAGTGAAACTAGAGGCCCTACATCTAGACTGAAAACAACCTAGGACGTCTCTCCAGAGGACAAACAACCTCCCGCCATCTTTAACGGTCCTACTTCGTCTTCTCACGGCTAAACACACTCATGCTGCCACTGATTTTGCTGTGAAATGTGACGTCCGACGGACAGAAAAGCAAGCACGACGGCACACACTAAAGCTTATTCCGTTTACCTGGGATGTAGACTGTCATCACAACATTGGGATTATGAGAGAGGAAAGGATGAAGGATTAGTTAGAGCTGTAAAATCACAGGGAAACACAGTGTGGGGTGGGGTGGGGGGGGGCAGTGCTCTACAGTTCGCTGAGTGGGGACAATTAGAGAGATCGTGGAGGATCCTTGAAACAGAATAATGCGGCTGGATGGAAATCTAATCAAACAGTGAATGAAGTGAAGATTTCTGTGCTATTATTTAATAATCAACATTATGCAGAAACATGCTCGTTTGTTAGATTCATCTATAAAAGAGTGCTTCTACGACCGGAGTGCGATTCCAGCCTGAAGTGGAGCGCTGGTGGATTCTGTGTGAGGAGGTTTCTGACCTGGTCTCTTCGGAGCCTTTTTGGTCGGCGTGTCCTTGCGTTTGGTTTGGACGGCGGGCGAGTAGAGGATCCCGGAGGAGGCGCTGTTCTTGCGGAAGTGATCCTTCAGGCCTTTGATGGAGCGATCCAGCTGGTTGGACCGGATCTGGAAGTAGACGTTCATGAAATCTGCAGGAGAGAGTTCAGGAAACAAAAAAATATAAAAGGCTGCTGTCGACGAATCCCACGAAAACACCAAAAACCAGCAACGCGTTACGTTCGTCTCTCAAAGTTTTCTGACTTCCTGTTTGTTGCTGTCAACTCCAAACTTTTACATATTTTTTTTTTTAAAAAAGGCTCATTAATTTCCTCAAACAGCTGCAGACTGTAGTTTTTAATTAAAAATGGGGAAATAGTGCATTTGTTGGAACTATTTTAGTTTCCTTGTCAGCTTGACGGAGTGTCTGTAGGATTCAGTCAAAATGAGTCAACTTTAATCCTCAATATAATTTAAACAGGTGAGTTATACAAACATTCATCCTCCTGTACAGTTGTCACAGACGGGGAAATTAACTATAGAGACCAAAACTGTTTTTCCTACCAGGTGTAAAGTTTAATTACATTTTAATAGAAGAGCCTTATGGAGGTAACATCTACTAACTGGTTTACGTTCGTACTGGTTAACTTGGCTGATGTATGGATACAGTAACATGGCAGAAACTGTGATGCTTTATTTAATGTATAATAATATATATATATATATATATAATACATATTTAATGAATAAACTGTTGAGTCATGAGGACAAATGAACAGAAACTCACAGCAGAATGTGAGCAGCAGACTCATTTACATCCTGCAGCAGGATGATACATAATGAATCCCACAGACTGATTACACTGCCAACAGTTTATAAATACAGTCTGCCTCTCTGCTCTTCATCAGTCTGACTGAGAGAGTTTTGCTATAAACGCACTCAGGAAGATTAAACGTATCTTCAGCTCTTGTCCAATAAGAAAAACAGATATTTATGTGACCTTTAAGACCCTCAGGTTGGGTCAAAAGTTGTTTCTCCTTTTTTAATCCACTCTTTTGAATTAAAGCCTCTACAGACCTCCCCAGGCTGTGATGTGGTGTTAACCTCTTCCTGCTGACACGTACAGGCTGTTTCACTCTTCCTCTGTCCGGCCGATAATGAGACACCCTGGCCCCGGACCTGATTGGACCCTGGGAAAGAGGACCAGCAGGGACAGGGTGTGAGACCCACACACAGCGTCATACATACCCTGGTTGCGTCCGTACTCCACCAGCCAGCCGGCGATGCAGATGATGTCCTGGAGCACGGCCTCGGGCAGGTGTTCCAGCACCACGTCCTCCTGGACCTCCAGCTCCTCGTCCACGCTGATGGCGTCCAGGATGAGGATCGGGGGAACGGGCTTACTGTAGCGGGTCAGCAGGCTGCGGAACTCGGCCTCCAGCAGCTCTTTGCCTTTCTCGAAGCGCGCTTTCTGCAGAGAAGCAGCAACGATTGCGTATTCGATCTGGGAATTTTTCTTTTACACCTACGTTGTCTTCGACTAGAAAGGTGTTTTAGTAGCCGTGTGGTTCCCAACATTTGTCCTTTTCTATCATTTAATAAACTGACTGAGGCTTATTTTATGTATATTTCATATTCAATTTAAAACTGTACAATGAATCCACACAGTGAACTCACTAACTGCAGGACGTTTGGGTAAAACCAGAGATTTCCGGCAGATTATTTCCTGTTCAGGGAACTTTTTATACAATTCTGTGTTCATGAGGTTTGTAATTAATCTGCAGTTCAGGATCAGACCAAACGTTTCTGTTAAAGTCAGATGTTGAGCCACCAAAGGAGCCAAAACAACAGACTAGATGAGCTGAGTCAGCAGTCGGTATAAAAGAGCGTCATCAATAAATATG